TACCTAAATTTATTATTTAAAATTTAAAGAATGTGTTAGTCAACTTTTAAAAAAAATAATTAATTCATAAATAGACATGGTTTTTAAAAAAATGTTTTTTTTCTACATTTTATGTTAACTTTATAAGGTGATTCAAATTGAAAAAGAGTCACTATATTAACATATGAATTGACAGAATCGGTAATGGATATGGAGGTTGTTGTAGATGACATAGGTAATTGCATGTTTTTAAGAAAATGGATTTTCATACTATTATATTGTAAAAATAGGTTAGGTTAGGTAAGATACATTGCACATTTTGATTAATTACATACCTATTATATATTACATAATAGATTTATCATACAATGTAGCCGAGCCTTCTAAAAATAATACAACTGATTCTGTTGAGAACACTAAAAGGAATTCAGGTATAGGTAAAATACATTATACATTTATAACAATATTACTAAAAAAAAAAAAAACACTGTATACAATATATTATAAATGTATGTATATACACTATACAGTGTTAGGTACTAAATAATATTTGTTATTTATGTCTGTATGGTGTATCTAGATAATTTAAATTCAAACAAAAAAATGAAAAATATTTTTGACAATTTATCCGATAATGAAGGTTCCAATAGTAATAACAGTAGTGATCTAACTGCAGATGAAAATTCAAGCAATGTTATATCCAGTAAAGGTTATAGTGTTTAAATCAATAAAATCATTAATATTTTTTTAAATACCTAAAATATTATAATTTATAAGACAAAAAATTAAAATATTAAATTGTACCTATTTAGATAATTTTATTAAACAAATACTGAAAAAATACCAAGACGATGTTATAGTACTACAGTATTATACTGCAAATGAGACATTAAACCTAAAAATGAGAAACAGGCTCTGTGGAGTATTGATAAAGGATGCTCTACACAATTCCAAAGGTGGAAATAAAATTAATAGATCTCAATTTTCCATAATTGCAAAAGGTACCCATTTTTCTCATAAATGGATTAAAAATTATGTAGAAACTAGGTACTTCAGTACAATATGTATATACTATACTCGTATATATAATTAATGATAATTGATTTCTACCCAAGTTGTTTTTTTATAATAATAGTACAACTGTACAACTATTAATATTAAAAGTTTAAAACTGTACAATAGTTTATTTAATTATTTTGATGTTTAAATATTAAATGTTTACTTAATAGGTATAGAAGAGTTATTTCTTTCGGAAATGGAATACATTTATTTTATTCCATATTTTAGAAAAGGCAATAAAATTAGCCAAAATCGTGGTAAACTGTATGATAAATATTGTAACATAAAAAAAGGAAATTAATAAAAACAATACAACAACTAAACAAAAAAACTCATGTAACAAAGATGATGCAGTTTTTATAAACGAAGAAGGTTATAATTAATTTTTAATTAACAAAATTTTAATGGAATTTTTAACAAAAGTATATTTTATCATAGGTAATGAACCATTTATTATTTATAATGTGTTTAAAACAATTCATTATGATGAACATTTTGGAGCATTTAATGTTATGTTAACTTCTGAAGTACAATGTATAAAATTAAATGAATTAGATAATAGTTTTCCTGTTAGGCATTTAGGTATATCCAATGGAACTATATTTATAAAAATGTATATCTAAATTAAAAAAAATTATTTAATACGATGTATAAATTGTTTTTTTTTTTATTAGGTATTCGTATAGTTTCAGAAATTTACTGTAGCAGGTGTATTACACTGAATACTATAATTTATTATAACATATCTATAATGTTCATATTATATTAAAATTACATTATTATTAAANTCAGGCCGTCAGCACACCATTAATTGTCTATCTGCCCCACACGAAATATCAAATTTACATTCAACAGAACCAATTGAGTGATGTTAATTTTAGTTTTAGAATTAATTTATCAAAATTTATCTATTATTAGGGCGCGGAACTTGATGATCCAAATATATATAAAAAAAATTGCATAAAATTACGTAAAAATGTTAAAAAATTACACGAAAAAATGATATTAAAAATTTTAATAATTTTTGAATCAAAACAATATTTATCAATTTTTACAATAAAATATACATTTTTAATATCATTTTTTCGTGTAATTTTTTAACATTTTTACGTAATTTTATGCAATTTTTTTTATATATATTTGGATCATCAAGTTCCGCGCCCTAATAATAGATAAATTTTGATAAATTAATTCTGAAACTAAAATTAACATCACTCAATTGGTTCTGTTGAATGTAAATTTGATATTTCGTGTGGGGCAGATAGACAATTAATGGTGTGCTGACGGCCTGACGTTTGACAATCTCTTAATGTCAAATACACTTGTAATGTTGAAATTACTACAGTAGTATTACTACCAATTATGAAATAAATCATTATAATTGTTAATCAGAGTGGTTTTTTAAAAAATGTTGTATAATAAAAATATCTAATATACCTATGTTGTGATAATAGTTATTTAGGTACCTATTTATTTTATATTTAGACATGGATGATTTTATGAAAAAATGGTTACTTGAAATTGGATTCAAACATTTGATTAATACATTTGAAGGTAACTTTTTTTTAAATTTTGAATTTAAAAGACTTACTCAAGTATAAAATAACTGATTTTTAAATAATTTATAAATACAAGATATACCTAATAATATAATAATATAATATACAATCGGTTTCATTAAATACAATATGGAGTTAGGTATAAGGGCTCAGTTTAAAATGTTTAACTATTTAACTTTTGAATCTTGTATTTTTAAAGTATTTAAAATTAATGCCATTTTTTTAACAAAAAAACACTTGAAAAATATTTGCATGGACTAATATTCGATAGTTTTAAAATTGAACATAAATAAACTTGATAAATTAGATTAAAATGTTCGAATGATATTTTTTCAACAAATAGTTATTGAATTTGTCATTAAATATGATAATTGGTTTTTTTTTCAGAGCAAGAAATTGATAAAAAAGCATTATTATTGTTGACCGAATCGATGTTAGTAGAATTAATTCTAATAATGGGACAGAGGGCCAATTTTTTAAGTGAATTGGAAAAACTAAAAAATCTATTGAAGTAAATATTTAGTTAACAATGTTATTTGTACCTAAATTTATTATTTAAAATTTAAAGAATGTGTTAGTCAACTTTTAAAAAAAATAATTAATTCATAAATAGACATGGTTTTTAAAAAAATGTATTACACTGAATACTATAATTTATTATAACATATCTATAATGTTCATATTATATTAAAATTACATTATTATTAAAAACTTTATATTTTGTATAGGTATGTAATTAATTACATTGTTTATTGTTTTATAAGATATATTTAACCTGGTGCTGGTGTACGGAACGATATACTTTTAAAAAGGCTAAACATTGCTAAGAATTAACTGCAAATAAAAGTTGTCATTGAGAAAGGGAAACATAGTTAAAAAATTAATTTTATGATCCTAAGAAAAAAAAAATTAACTACGACTACTATGTTAAAAAAAATGTTGAAAAGAGGCGCCATAAATGTTCGCCCTTGGGCGCAAAATCCGGAAATCGTTGTCTAAATAAATTGCCACTAACCTTTGAAAGGATATGAGCACAAACCATAGAGTAATATTACTCTATGGCACAAACGAAAGGTACCTATTCGTCCGGATTCGATATTCAATATAGGTAATGTATTATGCTGTTTTTGGTTTGACTTGTTTAAAAATCACTCCCAGTCGGGCACTTTGTCCGCGGCCGTGTAAAACGGATTTGCCGCACGCTTCATTCGGCCACCAATCGTGTACTGTGGCGCGTTGGCGAAGGGTGACGCCGGTCCGGCGGGGGGGAAGTAGGCGTTGGGAGCGGGTGTACGTTTGCCTCTCATTTTCGGATCATAGCGTCCGAGAATCACGGGCCTGGGCGTCTGCTTCTTGACGTGTTCTAACGCCACGGCCGAGTAGCGCGCCGGTCCTGGGGACTTGTACCACGCCGCGCCCCGTCTGCCGCCGCCACGTCCCGGTTCATCGTGCCGTCCCAAAATCGTGTGCATCGGAGCCGACGGAATATTGGGCACCTGGTTGCCGATGGTGGTGGCCAAGGCGTAAGCGTTCGGCGCCGGTGTGCGAAACGATTTCTTCATACAGTTCCGTCTAATCCTGCAAATTTGTGCGCAGATTATAAACTGTACTCGGTATATGCGTGTAAACCTATACTTGGCTACTTACATTTTACTTTTATAATGATTAACAACCGAAATAAGTAAACTTTTAATATTGTACCGTAAGTAGTATAGATATAGGATGTTAGAAATAATATTTTTATATAAACACATATTATTATACAATTGTTTCAATTAAAAGAATAATCAAACGTCTTGTTGATGAAAACACAAACATTGTTTCAAAATAGTAAATAAATTTAATAATATTTACAAAATGTTTAAAAAACCTATTTCCCTCTACATTCAACATTGTGTCTGTTGATTCCTATTTTATTGATATATTAAAAGTGAGACTGGGCCTTTTCGTATAGAGTAGCAAACATTAGTATATAAATAATGTATTTTTTACAGATCGCAGATTTTATTTTTAAAACACGAATGAAATATCTAAGTCATTATCCGGTATCACCCGCTTATTATATACCTATATAAACTTTTAATTTTCGGAGGGTTTGAAGTTTTGACTTCACTCTAAACCCCCCTGTTTAGGGCTTGTTTAGTGGTGTGTGCGATGAAAATCTGATGTCCATGTGAAAGTCTATATTAATAACATATAATCCTATATCGTGGAAGTTAATTATAATTTATAACTTTGATGAGAAGTTGATATAGGACGTGTGCATTTTTAAAGAAGTATTCATTGTGAAATTCTGTGGATTTAAAGTATAATGTACCTACCTAAGAAAAAAGAACTTCTTTGAGAAGTCGATATGAAGTCAACATGTGACTTTAAAAAGTTCGAATTCAATCTCATTTGAATACTACTTAATCTGGAGTTAAGCATCAGTAGATGCTCTGAGAAGTTGCCTTCCCACATACACTTCTACAAACACTGATTTGGCACTTCAAAAGTCAAAATTAGAATACTATGAGAAGTTAGGTACTTAATAGGACTAGATTTTGCACGGAAGATAGTAAGTTGTACCATACACATATACGACGTTAGTCACGTAAGTTAGAATAATGACTAAAATTGGGTACCCTGCAGTTAAAATACAATATATTCTCACCCCCCTCGTATCACTCAAAACTCAACCGAAAAATATAATTTTTAAGAAGACGTCACACCCGCATGTGTTGTCTGCGTCTTACAAATGTAGGTACAACATAGCAAAAACTGTTTTGCGCGGGAGAACTTACACTATCCACGTTTTTTTTATAAGCAAATGAAAAAAACAAACAAAAAAATAAAAAGTTTAGAAGCAAATAACTTTTATTGTATTAATTATGTTATCTAAAATATAGGCACGCTGTTGCATAGATAATTTTCTACTCTATATGTTCAGAAATTTTGGAGCCACTACTACAAACACAGAAAGTTAAAAGTTGTCCCGCGCAAAACAGTTTTTGCTCTGTTGTACCTACATTTGTAAGACGGGACAACACACGTGGGTGTGACGTCCTCTTAATAACTTTTAAGTACCTACCTCCGTCTGGTTATCATTTATGTGTAAAACACACACAACTAAGGCTTTCATCAAATATTATATTATAATACAAATAACAAATAATAGGTAACCTATTATTATGACTGTTATCACACACTTGTACATAATACTGGTATACTAACCCTATGAAACACGACGGTATCGTGGGCAAAGTGGCGGACATGCAGGGCACGGTGTTGTAAGCGGCCGGCCCGGGCGTACGCGTTGTACGAATCTCCTTATACTTCGGCGCCAGCGAGGCCCCGTTTGTTGTGACGGGCCCGAGACGTGTCATGTTACTCAGGTTGTATTTTGGCCCAGGATTCCGTGGCAGCTTAGTGATGACCATTGTCAATGGAGTAAATTAATATTTTTAAATATATTTTTAAAATAGTTTTTCAAGAAACGAGACTCTTTTAAATGGTTTTCTTTAAGCGTCGATAGAACGTTTTTAAATGTTATAGAAACAATTAAAAACATATTTTGGCCAGCAAAGTAATATGTTCAACAATAATTTTTTTCAAAATGCTTAAGATTTATTATTAGAATATATAAATATAAATATAAATATTAATAAATATTTAATATATAAAATATGATTTTATAACAATATAAAAAAATTGTACCTATGTATAATAATAAATGAATAGATTAGGTATATCTTGTATATATTAAAATAATTTTTATACATATATGTATTTTAGAGGGGTTGAAAACCCAACACCCCGTGTGTACGCCGGTTCCTCAATACATCATTTCGATTGTTCCCCCATATTTTTGTATATAGCTATTGTTGCTAAAAAATAATATTTTTAATGAGAAACACTTAAAATCGAACACCAGAACCAAGATGGCTATCACATTCGGACCTTTGACGGCGACATTTTTTTGGACAATCAGGAGACCATAATTATAAGCAACATTTCTGTCAAATTTCAAAACTTTCCGATTTAATTCCCATACGTTTTTTGGAGCTTGACAGGACTATTGGATATTTTTAGAAACCTGTCAACGGTTCATCAGTTTTCAATATACCCCCCCCCCCCTATAAATGCCAATGTTGATCATAATTGAACAAAAACCAGCTTGTGGGTGGAGATCTATACAGATTCAATGATTTTTTTAATGATATGATATGACAACCTTTATTGATTAATATAAAAATAATTTTTCTGTAAATCAAACTTATTTTTTAATAATAATGATCTTTTTTTATACAACAAATAATAATTATTAATTAAATTTACTCGATAATATGAATCAACTATTTGTAAGTAGTTTTTGGTGGATCACTTGACTCCAGTGTATGATGCCATTAATTATAAATACTCTGTCTCATAGTAGAATACTATCGGTTCTGTGCACTTTTTTTTACCTTCCACCGGTCACTACTTATAGCCAAGATGCACACTGCTGGATGGAAACAAGTCATAACCTGGCATACTCTACATTGCGACAGAGTATAGTATTTATAATCAATGGTCATGCATATTGTAAAAAATTATGGTAGATCGCTTAAGACATCAGTGTCGGCCTGTAGATCCCTTACAACACCACTACCCAATAAATACAATTAAGATTTCAAGTTCATGTTTATTTAAAATATATTAAATTATTTGTATTTCCAGAAAAATGTATAAAGCTATAAACAATAATACAAATAATTAACTTAACTTTTTTAGTTGTAAGCATTCAGCTTAGGTTTCAATGTTAATATATAATGAATTACAAGTATTTAATATTTTTTATAAGCAGTCATCAGAAAATACTTCTGAATACAATTTACATAAATTGTCTTCATAAAAAAAAATTATTCAGTATTATAAGTAAAAGAAAACTTGATACAAAAATTCATAAAAGAATTTAAAAAAAATAAATTAAAATTATATATCATGTTTTTAATAATAAAATCACATAACCTGATCATTAGCCATTCTTTTATAAACATATAAGTAACCTAAGTCAGTAGGGGGGTTCTGAGAAACTGCTACTTTTTCATCATTGAATATTACCCAGCGTCCTTCCTTTTTTATATGACAAACATAATGTCCAACTGTGGAAGAACTGCCCATGTGAGATATAAATGCAAACAACTTATATACTGCAATACAAAAATATTGTGGTCAGTATTAAAAAAATAAAAATTCATTATCTTAAAGACTTTAAACAGATAAAATATTCCTTTAAATTGTTCTTATGTTCACTTACTTCCTTTTCCATCTCTGAATTGAAAAATTTGACTTTTTGGTGTATTTTCTGTTGGGAGTATCTCTTCTGGTCCATGACTCATTATCCAGTCAAGAGCACGATCTAGATTGTTTTCAGTAGCTTTCAAAGCAGCAATTACGTGGTTTCGTTCAAAACCCATTGACATTATCATAGCAGCTGCTTCTTCATTAGGCAAAAATTCTAAAGCCGAAAAATTAAAATGATTTAATAAAATTAAAATTGAAAGGAAAGAAAAATTAAACATATAAGTTACTTTCTAACCTGAATTAATTGCCGTTCCAGGTTCTTGAAAAGGATCTGAAAAATCAGAGTCTGATATATGTTCCATAAGCCAATTTGTAGCATCATTAAGACTATTATTTTTTGTAAAAAATATTGCACGCTTGCATGCTTCTGGAGGAAATCCCATATTTGTTAATTCAGACATAATTTTCTCATCGTACACAAAAACTGGAGGAGTATCTAAAAAACATAATAATGTTTATGATCAACACAACATATCACATACTAACAACGTCTTGAAAATTAATTACATACCTATAGTCTCTATCATAAGGTTTTCACCCTCTTGTGCACCATTTCCTCTTAGATATTCAATGTCTATATCTTCAGGCATTTCAACAGATACATCCAACTTAATAGGAGTCCAATCATGACGAAGTGTAAATTTTTTTAAATGTATCATGAGGTAATCAGGAAAAGAAGCAAATCTTGTAATCCTTGAATTTAAGTGAGAATATTATTATTGAAGATATTAAATGATAGAACATAAATATACTATAAAAATAAAAATTTAAAGCTAACACTACATACTTTTCTGCAGTAGTTCTCTGGTTCAATGAAGGATTGAAGAATTGTTCGATTATTTCAGGCTGGCCAAAAGAATGTAAACAAGAAGCAAATGTCAATTTTGGACGAACTACTTCACTTAGGCTAAAAACAAATAATAATTTTTTTTTTACATTAAATGTAATCAAAAAAATTCTTAGTTTCTAAAAGTATGCAATCATTTAACTTTATTTTTAGTTTCTACTAAAAATTAATTAACTATTTTTAAAATGTCTTTTAGCATAAGTAAATAAATTTAGCAACATTAAATTTAATAATTTATACTCTTTATTATCGTTTTCAGCTTGTTTTTGCTTAAAAGCTTCGACTTCAGCTTTGTTAACAATATTGTCAAGTGAAATGGACAATGGCAAACAGTATTCTGGCCTATAGGTGTAATCAATTTGTCCTGTAGTTGAACATTGATAACGTTCTTCAATATTAAATTTGAAACATTCTGCTGGGTTTTGAGAAAGTTGACAATAGCGCTAAAAACATTAGTAAAATTATATACAAGATTATTACTTTTGTAAATAAATGTACAAAAATACCTCTATCAATGACAAGAAATACAAAAAAAATTCTTGTGCATCTTGTTGTTTCTTTGAAGCAAACTCAGAATGTCCTTTGCCAATCAATGATTTAAAAGTAGTTGGTCTAATACCATGATGCCAATATTTTTTTCCTTCAACAACATCTGGAGGTGGAGTTGAATATTTTCCTGAACATAGGCCATGGGCTACTTTTGCCCTAAAATACAGTTTATTTAATTAAATATAAAACTATTTGAATATTATAATAATAAACATACATTTGTACATCAAAATTTTCAGTAGGGTTGGTTTGACACATTTCAAATATATCTTTAGAGCCTAAATAGTATCTATAAAAAAAAAATGATTCATATTAAACGACAATAAATAAATACATGAATATTATACTCTATTCGGAATGAGATCGTACCTCGGCGGCCGACTTCTGTGCTGGTCTCATGAGCTTTCTAGGTGGGGGAAGCGTCTGACCGTCGCCGCCGAGGTACGATCTCATTCCAAATAAAGTATAGGTTTATGGATATTAAATAAAAATAATGAATTTCTTACTTATCAGTAAAATCCGAAATAGAAAATAAAACTTGTATGATACTATTCATGTAACAAGAATTTCCCAAATTGTGAATACCTGTGTAACCAGGACCAAAAATTGGTTTTAATTCACTTCCACTCTCTTGTAATGTTGCCCATTCACCAACCTTTTGGTTTAAAGCTAATTCTAATTCTATCATTGATTTTTCAGTCTATAATTATATATTATAAAATAAGTATATAAAATTAATTTTCAGACATACATAGGGTGTCCCCCAGTGAGAATTTACCCAATGCGATATATCCTAAAATAATGAAGATATCATAATTCTGGTTTTTTAATAAGACTCACATTGACAAAAACTACAAATATTTCATGTTTTAATTTATTTTAATGTTTAGGTAAAAATATATTTTTTTATTTAATTATTTTCAAAAAACTTGAATATAGCCATTTTGAATAGTTTGTTTTTTTATAAACATTGACTTTTAAACATTTTATTTTCATTAAACTCTTGACTTTTTTTTTTCTAGTTTCAAAAAAAATTGAGGGCCACACTGAAAGCATTTGCTGGCCGCACAAGCACATACCACATCTTTGATACCACAATGGTACTAAATATTTCATAATTTTTCTCGAAACTAGTAAAAATATTAAAATCCAGGAGATTAATGAAAATAAAATAATGAAACGTCAGTATTTTCAGAAAAATGAACTCTTCAACTCTATTTGGCTATCTTCAAGTTTATGAAAATAATTAAATAAAAAATATATTTTTTAAACTTTTTTTTACCAAAACATTAAAATTCATTAAAACATGACAGTTGTATTAAAAAGCCAGAACTATTACATCTCCATTATTTCAGGAGACATCATAATGGGTAAATTCTCAAGGGACACCCTAAAAGAAACAAACAATATTACCTTTTCTAAAGCAGAAATATTGATACCAAAATGTGAGAGGTGTTTGATTAAATTAGGATTTTCCACCATATCATCTTCTGGATAACTGTATACATCTCCTTTACCATCTTTAGTAATAGTACCAAGTTTGACAGCCAAAGGATATTCTAAAATAATAATAATATAAAATAAGCTAAATTTAAAATTAAAACTATAAGTTAATATCATACTAGTTTTTTCATAATGAAGAGTAGCATGTCCATTTCCCCCAGATCCATCAAAAAACTTTCGACCACAATAAATTGAACCATCAGTTAAATTAAGCCATAGGTTATCAACTTTATCACAATTTTCAAAATCACACTTCCAACCACTGGGAGCAATTGTTTTCCCGTTATTTAACTGTTCTATATCAGCATATCTGTTAGATAACAAGAAATATAGATAGTATTAAATTCAAACTCATAAAATGTTATGTCTTAAGAGAATATTTGTTGTCCCCACCTTACAAACAAACAACATAGCAAAATTTCCAGGCTGTAGAACTGATTTTGCTATGTTCTATGTTTGTAAGTTGGAACAATATATGCAGGTGTAGCGTGCTCTTAAGACAGAATATCAAATATCTAATTTCATACCCAATTATAATTAAAAAAAATAAATTTTAATAATTGCAAAGAAAAATGTATTGATTTATATTTTTAAAAGCACGCCACACCTATATGTGTTGACTACCAATCGTTCACAATAATCCATCTTACTCTTATTATTTTTTAAATTAGTGTGAATAGAATATTGACTTATTATAAAGTTAAAAAGTAAGATTATTATCTAGACCATCTTGGAGGCTTTTATTGATATTTAAATTACAAAAAAATGTATGAGCATTTGAAATCTGTACAATTTTGCTTAATTAATTAATTTTTTTAAATTTTATAATAGGTTAGTCACTCTAATTTTAAAAATAACAAGAGTAAAATGAATTATTGTGAATATATATTTGATATGTTGTAAGTTTGTAGGATGGAGACAATATATGCTGGTTTACACACACATTTTTTAACACATTCACCGTTGCTGCTGATCATGGGTTGGATTTGGTAGTAGGGCCCTCAGGCCTCTGCCGATCCGTGATCGTTACAAGTGCATATTGAAAATACACACCTATAATAATTCGGAAAAAGAGGCACTGCATTATTATTTACCAGGCCATTCAGAACATATTAACAGAATATTATTTTCAGTCGGTTTTGTTGTTTTTTGTATACTTTTATAGTCCTGCATATGTTATCCATGGACACGGGACGTGTAACGCCAGATTAGAAATATAGGTGAGGCAGTGAACGTGTTAAAACAATATTTTGTTATTGATTTGATTTATCATACCTAGTTTTTTGTCGAACTTCACCATCCCAAGTGCTAGACATACTTTGTAATTCATCTAAATAATTAGCAGATTTAGCTTCAATAATACCTTTTATAGAATCAATAACCTGAAATAAATTTAAAAAATATGTTAATTAAAAAATTAAAAAATTAAATATAACTGTATAATTACTTTCTGTGGTAATTCACTAGTTTCGAATGGAAATGATTTAAACGACGGTAATATAACTATAGAATATTCTTCTATTGTTTTATACTTTTTATTTTCGGCATCTGGATCAAATCCACCATCTACACCAATAGCAAGTCTAGTAACTTTCCGTTCAGTTGGAGCATCACCTACCTGTGTCATTTTGGTTTCAACCTAACAATTTATATATACATGATAGGTACATAGTATCTACTACAGTTTAATAATAATAATTAGAACTAGGATTTCTATGCATTTACATGTTTTTTTTCCTTTAGCCCAAATTGATGAGTTGTCAGATATGTCCACAATTCGGCTTATATTCAATTAAATAGAACAACTCTTGTTTAGCACATTTGGAACATAGTCGAAAAATAATTAAAATTCATAAAATGCTGAGTTTTTGTAAAAAATAATTAATATTGTGTAAAAATAAAAAATTGTTTTTGCATATTTTATCATTTTTTTATTGTATATAAATCATAGCTCTAATGATGATTATCATTAATATAGCAATATTTATAAGGCACATCAATTTCACTAATAAATGGGGTTGAAGTATGGCATTAATAAACTATCTAATTACAGCGAAACCTCGCAATATTGGATACCTCCTAATAGCTGATCTTTTCTTGGAAACCAACTACAAATTGTCTATAATATAAACAGCAGAAACCGCCATATAACAGAAACAATTTCAGCAAGGTATTTAGAGGTTTCGCTGTAAAAGTATTTGTTGATCAATGTATTAAAGATTACAATTTTATTAAGTGGGCTTACCTCTATTTTATGTCTAAGCATATGTAAAAACACAGAACATCCAGTTTTTCTATGATGACGTTCAACATGATCATACCCAAATCCAGCAAATGTTTTTAAACAAATGAAAAGACCGCCCTCAAAGTCCTGTAAGACATTATTTATTTGGTATTATTATATATTTTATAGAAAAATATTAAAAATCAACATATGATATTGTAAGGTACTTGATATTTTTTCACATAAACAATGGTTTACTTTATTATTTTAAAATTTACTTTTAATTTTTCGGCTCAATTAGGTATGAAGTTAATATTATGAAAAACATAAATGCGTGTAAGTGCAATGTTATAGATTTCTAGAAGCAAATTTAAACATTAATAGATTTTTATGAAGTTCAAACAATTAATTTGTAAACATTTCAAATACAGTATAAAATTAATCGAAATATTAATAAATAATGAAATAGACAACTACGATAATTTTAAAATATAACACACAGAATAACTATAGAGAAACTGAGTGATAAACTAAAAATGTTTAATATTGTAACTGGCATTATGGTCTTCTAAAAGTAATTCTACAATAATTATAACACAATTTATGTAACAATAGGGTTTTAATATTTCTTACTACAAAAAATAAGCAGTACATAACTTTTTTTATTTCAAATATGTGCAAAACTCTAAAGGTACTTACTGGAGAATCAAATGAATAAAGACATTCGTCTTTATATACACGATCGTGTTCTTTGGGAACGTTTGCGTCATAGTTTTCTAAGGTTTGCTTCGCAGCTAAAGAAAAATCGCTGTCCATTTTGGGTCTTAGAAATTTAATTTTTCACAGAGTAAAATAATTGCACTGTTAAAGAAATTATCCAAGGTTATGAAAAACACCAATATCAAACATTTAAAATTCCATCAATTGCTTAAATACTTAATAGAACTAAAAAAAAAATAGGTACCTATTAAGCATTTAATATTCAACAATAATTTATTATAATTTACAAAATCACTCGAACAAAAAGAGAACCGGATATTTTCATAACCTAACATAATATGAGTTATCACTGTGGAGTAAAGACCATAGAGTTGTGCGACTTCACTCTGCAGCTTCGTGACGGAGGATTCTTAGTGTTCACACCACACCGTGTCGTGTAAAATTATTTTCTCTGATTGGCTGAACCGCGTGGTATATCGTTATTTTATCACACGACACCACACGGTTGAATACAAATAATAATAATTCAACTTTTGGCCGTGTGGTTACAGTTATAATATTACGTGTAGAAATAATTGGTATTGCATTTTGGTCTACTTCACGATTTAACGGATTAGTACTATGCATTAAGTTAAGATATTATATAAGGTAGAAGTTTTATTTTAAATCGTGGTCTACATATAAAAAAATGAACGGCATGAAGGCCAAAGATTATTAAAATTAAATACGACGCGACCCTGTGAGGCGGGCTTTCAGTTTTCCACTATGCGAGTTTGTTTAAATCCTTTGCTGTGATTGGTTGGTTAGGTTAAGCAACCACATGATTAACCATGTTAGTGTTGTTAGACAATGCTGAACATGTTTCGTATACACGTATGGTGGAAACGTATTGTGTAGTTGTGACTTGTGATAACAAGAACCACTCAATCATTGTGTTCACTTCACCACGAAAATAAAAAAATTTGAATTTTGAGAAATAGCGGACGCAGAGAAGACGCACGGGTGCCCCCTGTTCACACGGGCGGCAATCTTGTCAAAATTCTTTAAAATACAGATACGAAATTTATTTATTATATTTTGCCCCAACAAAAAAATTCTCCTGGTAGTTACACCACAGATTATATGAAATTCAATTTAATTTCAATTGTCCTATGGTTACACTCCTGATAAATAAAATCAAAGTATTTCATGAAACACTTAAATTGATTTTTTATAAAGCACTAGTAAATTTAAACATAGTAATTGATCACCAAAATTCTAATAAATTGTTGTCTAATTTTAATTCCGAAGTTAAAAAATGTTAGACATAATATCGATGTTTTAAAGCAATCATAAGTGTACTTCATTAGTCATTACAATATTCAAAAGTTCTAAGCTAATAATACCATAACTAGAAATTAATGTAGCTATACATCTGTCTAATGTCGTCTAAATTTTACTTTTAGTTGTAAGTTTTAACTTTTAACACTGCCTCTAGAATATAAACCGTAAAGTACAATGTATTACGACATTTTAAAGGATATAAAAGAAATTATATAATTTCCAAAACAAATTTAGAATTATTATTTTGATTAATTAAAATCTTAAATTTCATTGTTACACTATAGAATAAAAAATGTATTATCCTATGTACTGGTACCTCGTGTGGATGTATTCAAACTGACTACACATTGGTAAACAATCCCAAAGGATACTGGAGCATACTCACTAAGAAATGATCTACTTTTATACACACACATTTACAGTAATAGACAACATTTATAAAATAAATTGATAATGTAATTATCAATATGAGATTTTAGTTTCAAAACAGCATCTCAGCTTGGAGCATAGCTCTAAAAGTATCCAATTTAAAAAGTCAGACAGATGGCTACTAAGCTATGAATAATAAATTTGTAAAATATTTTAAATACTAAGGACAATGAGTATGAAAACATTTTAATATGATTTAGGTTTCTAAAAGAAATTATAATAGATAATTTTTTATAACATATTTGTATATTATGATTTGGAGCAAAACTAAAATTCCATTACTTTATTTTTTAATATATTTAAAATGGCGAAATTGCATCAATACATTTTCATACATTATTAACAGTATCAACATTAAAACTTAATACACAGCTGCGTTAAATTTATAATTGATATTAATAATTTAAAGCTTAATTTTAACAGGTTCTTCATATTACATATAATCTAAACATTACACATAATTAAAATAAAGAAGTCTAAAATTTATTATTTTAATAGATAACATTGAAGTTAACCATTTTCTTTTTAAAATAAAACAAATAATAAATCGGAAACCAGATGATTATTTAGTTTAAAAAATAAACAATAAAATAGTTAATTACAATTAATATACCCAACAGCTTTATTAATGAACAGCATAAATATATGGCAGTTGGTAATAATAATTGTATTGGTTTTTCAGTCAAATAAATTGAAATACTATTTAGAGTAATTAATAATTATTGATAGTGAAAATAATACTTTGAAGTACCAACAACGTTCAAAATATAAATCAAAATGTTCAATCTATACATGCATTTGTTCTGAATTGCTCAGATACTACCATAATGCACATTGTATATAATAAAATAGTTTCAATTCACAAAATAAAATAGGGAATAGTTGTTTTTTTATTATTTTATTTCATTATTTATGTATCAATTAAAAACTATTATTGTTTGGAAAAAAATATATATGTTGCTTAAAAAATAATGCAATTTTTGTCAAAATGTCAAAAAAGAAATAGTCATACTTGTACTAAAGTAATGGAATCCAAATAGATAATCTTAATTTCGTAATAATGACTTGACATAACCTTCATGTATTTTTACCATAAAATCTGGATCATTTTTTAATAAGTATTCAAAAGCTTGTAATAACTGATTCTTTGTTAATGGTTCCAATTTGTTATTAGATTTATTTGATGCTGGTTCCAGGTGTTTAGGTTCTGTTATTGACATTGCATTTACTGAAGAGGTAACTAGTTCATCTTCAATTTCATCCAATATGAACCTAGTAGGTGGCATTAGCTCATCTGAATCAAGTTGTGATTCTAATGGCATAGATGCACCTAGAAAAAAACAACAAAAAGTTTTTTTTTTAAAATCATTGAATAACTATTAAAAAAATAAAACATTTAAAAAAGGCGTTAATAGTAAACCACAATTAATTGTTTAAATATAACTAAACAAATATTATTGTCTTATAAATGTGATATTTATTTTTAAAGAAATGTAGTGAAATAAAATAAATATTAAGTATTTACCCATAACTTTATTTGATTTTTCAGATAGATTGCTTTGATTAAGAAAATGATCAATCAATGATGAACTAAATGAATTATCTTTAATATCTTTTGGTCGATGATATCCATTGCGATTAGCGTGGGAAGTATCATCTTCATCTTGCTGATTTAATTGATTTATCAAACTTCTGGGCTTTATGTTATTGAATGAACATGTTTTAGTTTGTTCAGTATGAGTTGGAACCAAGATATCTGTTCTAGGTGTTGCTGACCTTTGTTGCATTTCAATTTGTTCTACTGTATGAATTGGACTGGCCATCAACTTGTGCAACATAGATTCATTAGATCCTGTTTTCAAAGCTGGAGTTTGTGTACTTTGTGTATTTGCATAACTTGATAATGATGGTAATCCTTCTGAGAAATTTTTTCCACTTCCTGCTTTTGCAAAAAAATCCATAACACATTGAGGAGGGGCATTTTCTTCAACTTTTTTGGATGGTGTTTCAGATCCCTTTGAGATGGTTTTATTGGCCCTATCAAATCAACACAATATATTATAATTTAAAGTTGTTTTATCTTATATTTATATCAAATATTGAACATTTACGCTGCACACACATCTGAAGATTTTTCAAGTATTTTTCTCTTTTTAATGACAACAGTTTTCATTTTATATTCAAAAGCAGATCGTTTTTCTAAGTGTTTCAATACATAAAAACTGAACTTAGGACCAGTGGCTTATGAATTATAAGTAGAGATCAGAATTATATGCATTTTAATATTCATACAAATTACAAAGTGGATGCACAAGTGCACAACTATGAGGGATCAAAATACAAAACCAATACATATATAATTTTTAGGTTACAATTCTAAACATTTTTTAATGAATCCAAATGTGATTTACTTAGTTGTACATAATATATTATAGAGGTAATTTGACAATACAGTTTACTTAAAATAGTCTTATTAATAATACTTTGAAGCTGAAGATTAAAAAAAAATGTTCAACTTGTTTTTGGTCCAAATTTTTTAAATATATTAATTGTATATTTTGAATTCTTTGTGCATATAAAAGCATATTTTGCACCATTTCGATGATGCATATTTTCATCATATTTAGCACCTGTTTAGTGCATATTATTCCAGTCTCTAATTTTAATTACTCATAAACCATTTGTTCTAAATTCAATTTCTATGTATCGAAATACTTAGAAAAATATTATGATTTGGAATGTGAAATTCAAACTGTATGTTATCAAAAAAGTCAAAACTTTAAAAATGTCGAGGATAGAAGATATTGTTTTTTAACAACTACCTTGACCATGTAAAAATGTTTATATTTTTTTAACTAACGAGTATTCAGTGACAAAAGAATCACCTGGCAGGCACATTAATTTTATTTAAATTGGTTTCTTTTATGAAAAATGGGACATTATGGATTTAAATTTTAAGTTAGTTACGACAATCATAAACATTTTTTTATCTTGATTTTTGTCTACAATTTTTAACAATTGTACTACCAAAGTTAAGATTTCACTTAATTCCTTGAATTTTAAATATTTTGAGTTGAAAATGGATGGTTATTAGACTAGATAACTACAGCGATACATTTCAGTAAACTGCATTAAGATTTTAAAATGTTTTTTTAAGTTAAAAAAATAAGTAACAGATACATTGTATGTTTAACACCTATTGGTTGTTTACATTTAATAATAATTACCTATAATCCTCTTGTGCCCGACTTAGCATTGAAACGAGATCGATACTTTTGGTGGAACCAGTTTCTTGTTTGTTAACTTTATCATTTTGTTTTACTATCATATTTTTGATCAATGATTTGAGTATGTTGGATATTTTGGCACATTCTTCTTTGTCATAAAACCAAATACCATAAATAGAACCACCACAGTTTCTGTACAGTAAAAATGGCTCTTGAAGTTGAAGATCTAAGCCGTTTTCAATAGGTTCCATCAAATTGTTTGTATTTAATCTATTCATTATCATAATACTGTGCAAAGGTTCAGCAGATCGCGTATACACGTGTAAAGTCCCTTCAACATTGGTTTTTTGCCATGCATTCGCTTCTGCATTGAATGAATACAGAGCGACGTGTCCTGCTGTTTGTACAATACTATCAACATATGGATCTACTCTTTGCAAAGCAGAGAGATTCATTTTAGCTTCAGAATCGCCGTAACTCATTGTTTATGTTTGACTATCGAACAGTAACACTAAAATATATGGAGATCAATAAAATGTGTGAGATAGTAATATTAGTTTATAACAATTATACCCGTAGACTAGTTCTTCAAATACTAGGTCTGAATATAAAATCTTGAATGTATTCAATAATGTATTTCTTTTTAGATCATTTCAATATTTTTACGATGATAACATTCACTGGTCCTGTTTTGTTCGTCACAACTTGTTTAAACGGTAGGCATATGAACGGTATTATGTAAAATAATATTTTAGGAAACTTCAAAATTAATAATACATTCAATAAAAACAAGTTAAAAATACTAAAATGAGGTGACTGGCGATCCGTGAGAGCGTTGAAGAAGCAGAGTAGTAAGTCCGAAGTCGTAAAGCACCGAACAAATCGAACGATAACTAGTAAAAAAGTGGGAGAATTTCGAGAACGAAAAACAAACGATTCTGTTACCAGCTTACCATTAACACGGTATTTGTGCACAGAGCTGCTGATAATTGACAAATTTGATAACGAAAATTCGTTATTTTCATTTCTTTATTATTATTTATTTTCATGTATCTTTTCTATTACAACTCTGTAGTCTGTTGTCGTCAGTTTTCAGCTATCTCACTCAACACTACATTGTTGTCATCAGTCGATTCGCGCCTTTACGTTTGAGTGATTGACTTTGTTATTTGATAGCTGTTGCAGGGTTGGAAGTTGTAACTTTGTATGTTTCTGTTGGAACTGTGAACCCCAAATCTGAATACTCTTTCAACAACTTCAACACTTGATTTTACTAGGAAAAAACAATCATTTTAATGGTGAATGTACCATATTGCCACAAAATAACCATGACAGTCGTGATTACTACTGCTTATTTATCTAGTATTTAAATTGTTTTATTCCATATCTGTACCTATTATAAATTGTAGCAAAATTCACAATGAGTGGTCAAGAAGAGGAATATTACTATGACCGTAGTATGTTTTTCAAAGAATTGTCGCAGAGTATTGGTAAGTTTTATCTAGATTTAGATACTACCTAACTTAAAATGCAACTATTTATTTTATTTTTACTTTCACTTGATGATGTTATAAATATAATTCATTTAAAGTAATTGGTACTTACAAGTTTTACAAGTATATCCTACATAGAGTACATTTGGAAAATTTTTTGTTCAATACTAAGTCTAAGTGACTTCTTTTTCTTGTTCCTTGTCATCAATATAACATTTATCTTGTGTAAGTATTTTATAATTGGTAATTGCTTATTCATTTACTTTTTTGTAATTATTTTAGAAAGAAACAAGTTATCAACTAATGTATTATTTAGTAACTATCTAAATGATTTTAAAGATATCGTCCAACATAATGGATTAGTTCATGAAGAGTTGAATACTGTTTGTCAAATATTGTGTACTGTTGATTTAAGTAAGTACACAGTATTATAACTGTATCATAAATGTATTATTATTATTATTTTTTATTTTTTTATTTATTATAACTTCTAGCATTAACTTTTATAGCTCAACAATAAAATTGTCAACCATATTATTTAAAAAAAAAAACAGGTTATAACAGTCTGAAGACTGAAATATTACATATAACATTATAAGCAGAATTTAAGAAAATAAATAAAAACAAGATTAGTTATTAAAACAAGATGTACATATTTAAAAAAATAATTCAAATAGATCTTTGATAAAATAATTAGGAGATTATTTTTTCAGTATATAAATGATTAATGAGAAAAAAATAGGTAGTAGTACAGAATAAGATTATGATGATGGAGTGTTAAAAACAAATTACGAAATTATAAAAATTTGGGCAATAAGTGTTTTTAGAGTTTAGAAGTGAAGAAAGAAAGAGAAAATTTGACTTATAAAAAAATGTAGAGTTGTAATTAAATGTGAAAGATTGTTGGAAGTTATGTTTTGTGTGCGAATTTTAGTTGTTGGTAGTTTCTGTGAATGTTGTGGGTTGAGTATGGGGATCAGGGAACTTTGAATTAGTTTTCTTGCTTGCAGACTTGAATGTTGGACACTCTTTAAAGTTGTCAGTGTACAATAACTCCTGTCCCATTGAGCAGGACTGTTATGGTTTTTGGTGTAACCTCTACAAAGAATAGTGGACATTTATTTTTGGTTGTACCATTGTATACGTGTTTGCTTGAATGTCCTAGTTTAGCCAGAGCTGTACTAATGTCAGTAATTAAGGTGGATTGATGGTAGGTTTCTTATGATGAACCTGTATGTGTGTAGATGGTATAAATTATGAATGGAAACTAGTGTCTTCTATAAGTCATCCATATTTATTTTATTGTAATTAAAGTGTTCCTGTGGTTGTACAGTGATATATGATGACAAAGACTTACATCTATAACCATTTGGGTTAGTGAGTTTTGTTAAGTTGGTGTTGAATGCGGAGAAGTTAGATATATTTGTTATATATATGTTACGGGCAATGTAAACCACAATTTTTTTTTTTAACCAACTAATATTATTTTTTATTATCATTATGAATTATAATCATAACCTATTTATAGTATTGATTTTTTTTAAAAACAATCATTATTCATTTTATTCATGTACCATAATATTACAAATATTTTGATGGAATAACAAAAAAAAATTAATAAGTATCATTTTATTTTTATGCTAAATTATAATTTCATTATTACCTATTTACTTGAACAAGATTTAGAATCATGGCACTTGGAATTACATAGTCTGTCTGCTTTTCTAAACTTGATTTTTAAATAGGTAGTACGATAAGGAACAAAAATAATTTTGCACACAGTGTTTCAAAAAATGCATAGTTTATTGTATTATGATACATGATTTAAATTAATAATGATTGTTTAAAAAAAAAAATCAATTCTATAAATAGGTAATAATAATAAAAAATAATATTAGTTGGTTAAAAAAATGTATGGTTCACATTGCCCGGGCAGGACCACATTGCCTGTAACATAATATATACTATATAGATGAGGTCAGTAGCTCCGTGTCATGACCCAATGTTAGGTAGGTCGTCGAGTATTCCATAAAGTTGATTAAGGGCTTGGAAATTACATTGTCACTGATATTATCGGAAGAAAAACCACCGAACAGAAGTTATTCTGTGATATAATGGTTAAGAGACATAAAAACTTTAGTTTTTTTGTCATTTTTACTAGGTAAAGTTAACGAGGTTGACAGATTTTGTTTCGTAGTTAACACATAAGACACTATATGTCGAACGAGGCCAGTTTTTCTGAACATTGTTCTTCAATATGATGTCATTAATTGAAGCAGGTACATATATTTGTTCATAAACATTAATGAGCCAGAACAATGTGTGTTCATGTTGAACGTTAAGGCTAAAGTGGATAAATAAATTATATAAAATATATAAATGTATATACTTAATTAAAATATTGATAAATTGTTATTGTTTAGTAATAATTTGAAATAAATAGATAAAGTTTAAGAATTTTAACTAGTAGGTACTTTTATAACTGATGGCATTATTTTAGGTGTACAAAATTTTAGACGAATACTCTTAACACTAGTACCAGAAGAACCATCAATTCCCCATGATATTTGTGAAGAACTTATAGTTTGGGCTTTGTCAGCTTATCGGCAAAGTGTTAACGATGCAACAAAAGCTCAATACATATTATACTGGTTACTTTGTGAGTATTAAACTATATTATATGTATATATATATATATAAATTATAAATCATTATTGCCAGGTTCCACGAACAATCACTAAAAATTTAAGGAATCAATAGTTAGCTAATGGTTCTTTAAACATGATTAAGTGGCCCATAATTGGTCCATTAAATTAATATATTTTTCATGCAACCTGGCTTAAGTGTTTTTAATATACGCTATTTTTTTTAATATAATATATTCATATTGTATTATAAATTATTGATGTTTCAAATTTTTTCAATTTTTGTACTAAAATAAATTTTATATTATTTTGCAATTGTATAGACGTGGTTGAAGAAAAATTAACTAATATGGATATAATTGATAAGTATTATAAAGTCTTATTTCATCTTTGTAATTATCAAAATTTAAATTTAGTGAGTAAATATTTATAATATTATTATTATTAAAACATGTAATGAGATGTATTTGATTATAATTTAATTGTTCTAGTGTCAACCAGTAGCTGGTATTATTTATTGTTTAACAAAATCTGATGATGTTCAAAAATGGATGATAACATGCTGTAAGAATATTATAGAGAGTTCTAAATCTGCACCATATCTGAACAAATTACTGACGTAATAATAAACAGTTAAAAACCAATGGTATTTAACTAAATAGTAAATATTTTATTCATTTTTAGTTTCTTTGAAAGTCCTAATTTGATGAACAATACACGGCAAAAGGGACTTTTTGATTGTAACAATGCATTTTGTAAAGAACTTGCTTGTGGTCTACGTAGCGTAAGGAAAGAATTAATGAGTATAAATCCACAGTCTACGCACAATCAACAACTCATAGAATATGTATATTTCTTAAATATATTTTAATTTGAATACAAATTTTTAACTATTTGTATTATTTATTTTATTTTAGGAAAGGAAGTCCTCAGATAAATTTTATAATAAAATTCAGTTTGTGGACATTAATAACAAATTTGAATTTCCAAGGTAAAAAATAACAATATATACTATGTTCATTAAAATATAATGTTTTTCTAGAATTAATTGTCTGTTTTGTAATAATTAACTTTTATTTTTGTTTGTATTTTGTTAACTGAAAATTTAAATTGCAATAATTTTTATATTTTCAGTACTGAAGAATTAGCAAAATCATTCCTAAAAGAATGTTCTTCTAATAACAGTTTGGCACTTTTAGGTAGTGTTAGTGGTTGGTGTAAATTACTTATGAACAATGACAAAGAATTGAATTTGCAACATAGATTTTCAAATAATTTGTATCATAGTCTAGATCAAAGTAATTAAAGTATTGTTTTAACTTTATAAATAATAATTTGTAAAATTTTATTAGTTTTTTTAAGTAATGAAGTTAATGTAAAATCTTCACAAAAATCAAAATTCTTACATGAAATTTTGGAATTTCAAAAATTTGCACATAGAGGTTTGGCAGCAGTAAATATTTTTATATTCCAATACATAATCTCATGGGATGGTATAGAAAATAGTCGTTTAATGTATGAACTTTTCGAATTCTTAACATTCACTTCAGAAGAAGGTTGTATTACTGAGGTATAATTTTAAATTTTATACTTATCAGTTTTATTTTATGTTTAGAATTAAAAACTCGGTTTTTGGAAAAATTGTATGCAATATTTATTACTGGAGATGAATTGATTTATAGAATGGTAATTAATTCCTTGACTAATCTTCTTTGTAATTTGGTAAGTTGAATAATGATTTTATTTTTTAACATTAAGTTTATTATTTCTAAAAGTCATAATTAATACAATATTAATAGTTAATTTAAGGGTTTTAAATAAATTAATTTGATTCTCTTTTTTCAAAATATAGAAAGTAAATGATAAGTTATCTTCTAAAATCTTAAATTTTTATAAATTATCTTGCTTATTTTTATTTCACTCTGTAAATGTTGTGTTATTTCAAATTGCTTTGTTGTTCAAAAATTTTGTTTATCTGATTTTTCCAAAGGTTATGTGGTCTAGTTTATTTGTATATTTTATACTCAAAAACATTCATACCAAACATTTACCAACTTAAGGAATTTTCGATCATCTGTTGTGCATTTTTTTCTCAAATGAATAATATTAAAATTCTTTTATTACTTAGAATTGATTAATAATGTTTATTTAGTATTTTAATTCAAAACAAACTAGAACAAATAAAAACTGTACATTATTTGGTGAAGAATTAAGAGAAGAAACAGAATTTGAAATAGTAAAATGTTTGACAAAATATATATCGCATTGGTGCTCAATATGTATTTATAATTATCCCCAAGAAGCACCGTTAAAACATACAGTTTATACATTTTTTGAAAAAGTAAGTTTTTTTTTAATTAAGAATATAGTGTACTATATGCATGCGTACAAATTAACTCGCTAACTTAAATACTCTTAGGTGTCTGTTTTAGAAAATTTGAATCCAACTATATGGCCTATTTGGACAATTATGCCTCCAAGTGTTTTCTATAACGGTTTAATGTCAGTAAATATATACTGGTTAGATAGATTGTCCAAACTAATGCTGAGGTGTGTAAATTACAACTTGTTAAATGTTTTAATTATTAAATAATACTATACTTGAAGACACTAATGAGAAATAATTTAATTAAACAATGTTATATTTAATACTGTATCATTATACACACAATTGAAAATGAATACTCATTTTAATATCACATTGTTTAAAGAATTTTACTGTAAGATTAAATATAATGTATTAAATTTAATAAATGTCTGTAATACGGAACATTAAAATAAATCTAAAACAATTTAGGCACATAAAAGTTGATACTAGCAGAATTGAGAATATAGCAGAAACTCCATCAATTTTAAAAATGTTACAATTGTTTGACATGTACATGGCAGATTTCTATAATGCTCTGCATACAGGAGTGGTAAGCACAATACATAAAAATACTAAAACAAGTTGATAATATTTTACTGAAAGTATTTTTTCTAGTTGTTTGATAAACGTGAAGAAGGATTTATTTTTAAATATTTGAATCAAGAAGAAGTTGAAAAAGATTTTAAAATAGTGAATTTAAATGTATGCTTTCAAATGGAAAAACATATTGCTCTAGCTCCATATTATATGAATGCTGAACACACAGTGGAGGTAATTTTTTATTAACTATTCAAATACGTCATTGTCCCTTATTTGATTTTATATGAGTATATTTTTTTTACCATCATTAAATTAATTAAATGTGTTTTAAATGTTCAGGATCCGTTGGAGGATTTACTTCGGACAGAAGCTCCAAATTTACACATGCTAATTTTTATGTTGAATCAAAATTTGCAGAATGATACTGGAACTGACGTTTCAACATGTTAATTTATTTTTATACTATGAATAACAAATATTTAAGCAATATTGGTTGTCAGTATTTTGATTAATTTTTTTATAACAATCATTCACAAAAATTAAAATCATTGAAACCATTAATAGGATAATATTTACATATTTTTTTAAAATATATTTGACTTCTTTTTTTTATGAGATATTTGTATAAATAGGGAATGTGATTTTTTTACCAAGCAAAAAATTAAAGTAGGCCAACTGCTCTAATCTTTTTTATATTATTTCATACATCATATGTATTGTGTACACTACACATATTAATTATAAGTTTTTGTTTTACATAAATTAAAAATATAGATTGTTTTTTCATAAATTCTTTATATTTATATTTTTATTAAATATTTTTTAATACCATATTATAATTTTTAAATGTTAAACTATGAAACTTGACTATTAGTCATTGAATTATTAACTAAAATTACAAGATAATATTGATTTGCTTAATTTTTTTAAATAAAAACAATTTTTTGATAATGCACTGGTCCTCTTATTTATGACTTATATACATATGTATCGTCATCTGTAGAAGTCAACCTCTGGTTTTCTTCATTCAAAATCATGAAATATGCTTTTTAATCATAATTTAGGCAAATTCATCCACTTTTTGGCATATTTAAAAATATATTTTAATATTCAAAAATTTCTTACACCCTACTTGGGTCACTAGAACGTCTGTAGATAGAAGACTAGGTTCTATCTACAACCGTGGTCATTGGTAAAGTAAAAAGGATTTTTTTAAAATAAACTTTCATATGTATTTTTGTTCAAATTATATTTGATAAATAATTTTAAACAACAGGAAACACAATTTTTATTTTTTACATCTTATAAGTTTTAATTAATACATTAATTGCTTTTTAATTTTCCTAATTATTAGCCAGACTTATTAATTGGTTCCTCGCAAAGTCTTGCACACTATCTGCAAGGCACCAACAGGGGCAAATTATAAAACATTTTTTTACTATATGAACTCCATACAGTAAAGCGCCAACCTTGCAGCTGGGTGAAGTATTAGACTAGCCTCTGAATAATTTGAAGTTTGTGCCACTGTTTAAAATTATTAATTAATCACTTATATAGGTGGTCTGGGGAGGGGGGCATATAGTCCCCTGCTCTCCTAAAGTCTGAAACGTCCATCTGTTCCACTCACAATTTTTTGGATAAGTACCTACCAATTGCTAAGCATATCTTTAAAAGGATTTAAAGTAGGTACCTATCTTTACAGTTTATTTTAAATTGTATAGAATATATTCAAGCTGCAGAAGACGTGTGCACCTAGCTATTGCAACCAACACATCGCCAAATTGAAACAACTCACTTTACCTGCTGCCAATCGTAACACAGTGGGACACTAATCTAATTGCAGTTATCTCAATTTAATCCTTGATTAGTAAAATAGCTACATCTAGTATTCACAGTATATATCATGCATATAAAATAATTTTAAATCATTCCAGGACATAGATACCTATCTAACTAAAAAAAAAAACATTTAGTACTTACCTACTTACCTTTGTTCTTAAGTTATAATAAAATAAATGTTGTTTTGCAAAAAAATGTTTGTTTTCCCTTCATATTTCATAAGCTTTTCCAGATTTTTTTGAAAATTATAGGAAATTTTCACAAAAGTACCTACCAATTAGATCAAATTTGCTTCCAGAGTCAAGAAATTACACTTTTGAGTTGAAATCAAAGCACTTTTTCTAATGTAAATCAAGAAAACTAAATCACACACACAAAATAATAAAATAATAAAAATGTAAAATCAGTACTTTCATTTATGATCAATCTCTTTGTTCAGAATTTAAACTCTAGAGTAACGCAATATAAAATATTACCTAATGAATACTTTTGTAGAATACATGTGGCTGTTTAGTGGTTTACTTTTTAAAACAAATAATTGTTTAACTTTTTAACTATATAATTTTGAAATAAACAAATTGTACACCTAACTAAGAATTTTCATAAATAATTTAATGCAATAAAAAAATCATTTTTGGAAGGTATTGGGAGTAATTTCCTCAATGTGGCATACTTCAGATAACGATTCTTAAAATCAAAATTAATTTGAACTCAATTTACTTTTAGGTAGATAGGTAGGTAGGTACCTATATTTTATTGCATGTATACCTATCGTTTTAAATTTGGGCTATCCCCATCATTGCCACCACATCATATTCTTAACTTTAGCTAGGTTAGTGGCTGCACCACTGCTCAGGTATTGTCCATTTTGATAATTATTTAAGTTCACATTATCACATCTCAAACATAGGTAGTTAGTCATTGATGTTCCATAGTAGATTAGGTATCTTCTATATATTATATACACCTAATTAAAATTTTTAATACATTCACAAGTTTAAGATGAACCAGAATAAAATCAACTCAAACTAAAAACAATATTATTTTGTAGTTGGTCGGTTTTGGTTACTTTAAAATTATTAAAGGTACATATTAAATACCTATGAAATATGTATACTCATAACCTCGATTAAGGAGGAGGAATGGACCAGGGCCCACAATATATACTGGACAATAGTGGGCCTCTGGTGGGTAGTATCTGTATGGTTATGGATATATTATTATTAGTTGGCCCGGGCCCAAAATTATCTTAATCACGGCTTGGTATACCTGCCTACTCATTATTTATTAATTATTACTGGTTATTTATTCTTTAATGAAAACATCATTTCGAATTCGCATTCATCCAAAATGAATAATAAATATATAACGTTATTCGTTATACTTATCGATTTTGTGCACGTTTAGTTATTAAGTAGTCACCTATTTTCTATTATAGGTATTTTCAAACCTAAATCTGATTTATATATTTTCATATAAAGAATTTCAGGTGCAGGTTAGGTTAGTAAAAACTTCAATTGAAAAATAATCATGGAATTTAAATATAGTTACTTAACAGTGTTTCATTAAAATATGACAACACTCAACAGTGCATAAAGAGTTCATAGGATAGATGAACATTATAATTGTTCAACCTATCAAAGTGCAATATGATCAATCAGGAAGTAATAATGTTCGATATTTTTAAATTATTATATATTATATACGATATAAAGTAAAATAGTATTATTAAATATTTTTAGGTACAACGTAAATACTGTTAACTTAAAATAAATGTATAAAAATACTGTTTAAATTGAACATACATTGCCGTAAAAAAAAAAAAAAAATGATGTAGGTAGTATAAAGATAACACCAAGTCATAATATTTAGCAGTAGTTTAAAAAATAAAAACAGTCTTTACAAGACAATCTTTAGCAAAAATGACACAAAAGTGTCGACAAATAATTTTAGCTTAATCGTTAGTGCCTATTCTACTTATATAATAATATATTTACATCCCACATATTGTAACGTCATAAATTATTACTATAATAATATCTAATCCACTTCGTTGGTAAATTGGGATAGGTATAGAGTGGTATTTTGTAGCCAATTGCTAATTGTTTTGAAATTTCTTTCCATCCAATTTACGTTTGCTTCTGCATTTTCAATCGATTGCAATACGCTTCTTCTGGCCGAACCCAAATGATCGTATTCGTCCTTGTAAAACTGCCACAGCTGAAATCAATTTCGCGATTCATATTAAATTATAGACTAGGTAATTGTGAAGTTTAAAGTCGTTCGACATTTTATCCGCAATTTAATATTAATATCATTTTTCTATATCGTCGTACTTGGATCAGGTCGTTTTTAGTATTGAAATGGTACGTGGCCGATTTAATGATCTCGCTCATTGTAGAAAAACCAGCAGCAAAACTAAACAGATATAAGTACACAAGTATAATAATGATATAATCAATTTGATTATTAACACGTTGACGCTACTGTTATAGCAGTCATAATCAAATAAGTAGCAGGTACCTAATATGAAGATGACCAGGCCACCAGGGGCGTTCTCACGGGGGGGGGGGGGGAGTAAGGGTGTCTCATCTCTTTGGCTTATTATTGTCATATAAAGCAATGAACGTTTATGTATAATGTATACATTATTATAACGTATGGTCTCAGAATAATCAAAAATTCATATCCCTCCCCCCTTTTAAAAAAGCTGAGCATGCCGTTGACGATGACTACGCTGCTATAACAGTTAGGTACATTTTAAAAGTCGTAAAATGATATAACTGCTAAAGCAGTTGTGTTTCTCATAATATGGCTTCACCACATTTGAAATTATCTAGTTTTTTATTTTGACTTCTCATCATAGGAAGTAACAATTTGGGCAAAAAAAATTAATTTATATATTCTAAAAAATCTCTAAACACTCAGAGCACACAATCGGAGTGACTACAAATTAATTATAGTCATATACATAACTACTTTAGCATTCATGTCCGTCAACGTTTAATATTTACCGTTTAGGCCAAATATAGGTGTTAAAAACAGTAATAATTGTTGAGATAGGTACTTACGTCGATTTGAGATTGCGCCAGTTGTCACGCACATAATTCCAAGCCACTTCTTGACCGGCCACTTTATTGGTCAAAGCGTAGAATACTTTGCTAATGTCTTGATTCCTAATGGAAGAATTGTTTTGCAAGGCATAACTGAGAAATCTGCAACAAGACATTTTTAACCGTCAGTTTTATATTATATTATAATATATAATATGGTTGCCACGAAATATTATATTATTTATCATACGACGAACTGTGCAGAATACGCTGATTATTTTGTTTATTACCGAATAATTTGTAATATTTACATTTCACAATAATTATTATGTGTATAACTTACCAAAAGTAAAAATAAAAATAAAAATTTTTCATTCGTTTATTATAATTTATAAGTAACATACCTACCTACTATACTGTAGATATTTTTCCTCTGCGAAGAAAATTGAGGAATTATAGATGTTATGTTTTTTGGTGTATAGTGCAGTGGAAAAATATCTATAGCATGCTTTATTTTGTTAGGCTTTTAAATTTTTTTTTTTTAATATAAATATGTTTTTGGGCTGGTTACGTCATGTTTTTTGTATCTGACCAATTTCGTAAGGCTTTCGTTGTCATGGTTACTTATCAACAAAGGCAAATTTATGATTC